CTTCTATCTCCGCCAAGCGATGAGCCACGAATGTCTTGAGGTTCTCGGGTCCGTCTTGATCCATGATAGCACGATACTGGAGTCTGTCCAAAACGTCTTCTTTTCTATTTTCAGATCCATTTCTTCCTCGACCGAGTGTGCCAATCTGCTTCCTAGGAGGGCCGCTTGCAGCTCGAGTCTCGGGATTGACACCGGCTTCAACGGAGCGACTCTTACTTTTGCTGCTACTAAGCTGACGTCATAAGTCCCATTTTGATTTTCAGTTCTCCAATATACCGTAGCTGCATACGCCATTTCGCTTGCATCCGTGAACGTGTGCAGCTCCCCCTCGGTGCGACGTGGTGCCAGACATCTCGGGATCTGAAGGTCTTGGAGCAGCTTCATCTTCTCCAGGTAAGTCTTCCATGACTCGTACTCCTTTTCTTCTATCTCTTCATCCCAACCGACGCCACTTCGCCATATGTTCTGGAGCAGCCTTTTGCCTTGGATGAGAATTGGTGATGCTAGCCCTAGTGGATCGAAGGTCGACATCACGGCGCTGGTGACTTCTCTCTTCGTAGGTACCTTGAGTCCTTGTGCCACTTCATCTGGCGTGTTCCGAAGGTTCGCCCTAAAGCCTATGGAGTCCCTTTCTGTAAACCAGCGTAGTCCCAGTGTCTTCTCTTCCTTCTCACCAAGGTCCACCTCTGTCTTCTCAACTGACTCAGTCTTCACGTCTTGCAGCAGGTCGGAGTGGTTTGACGCCCATCCTCGGAGTTCGAAGCCCGCCTTTTTGTGAATGAAGTCCACCTGCGCTGTAATTCTCTTGAAGTCCTCTTCTGAATGGAAGCTGTGCAGGTAGTCATCCATGTAATGGTTCAGCTCGATTGCCTTTGCTGCCTCTGGGTACTGCTTCTTGTAGTCCGCCGCGTTCCGGTTCTTCACGTAGATCGCTGTGCTAGGAGATGATGTCGCGCCGAAGATGACTGATGTCATTCTGTACTCCTTCGGTGCTACGTCACGACGATCCCCTCGCCACAGGAACTTCAAGCTGTTTCTATCTTCTGGCCGGATGCGAACTTGCAGGAACATTTCCTTTATGTCGGCTGCCACTGCAAACGGGCCTTGCCGGAACCTCAGTAATACCCCGAAGAGCGATTGCAGTAGGTCTGGTCCCGGTAGTAAAGCGTCGTTGAGGCTTCTCCCTTTAGACTTGGCTGCAGCGTCGAAGACGATCCTTATTTTCTTCTTCAATGGATGTACCACGGAGAAATGAGGGAGGTACCATGTCTTCTTTGAATCTTCTTGTCCACCAGGTGCTTCTTCTGCATACTTGCTGTCGATTAGATGCTGGATCTGCTTATTGTATTCTGCCTTCAGCTGAGGGTCTTTGTCTATCTTCTTTTCAATGTTGAACAATCGGTTCTTGGCAGACGTGTAGCTTTCAGGCATCTGTTCATCTTCATTTTTCCATAGAAGTCCAGCTTCAAATCGACCATCTTCTAGTCTTCTGCAGGTCTTCTCTAGGATGGTGAGTGCTCTTTCTTCTGAATCCGTAGTGGGTCTTCTTGGTAGTACTCCAAGTGCTTCGATTGCGAAGTGATCCTTGATGGCTTGATGCATCTCTTCTTCTGGCGTGCTGACATGTAGACACGTGTTTAAGAAGTGCACCACTTTCGCGCCTCCAGTGTCTGACCCGTGGAGCACCCATCCAAGTCCTGTTCTTGAAGCGACTGGTTGTCCTGGTTTCCCTCTTCTTACTTCTTGAGTCACGATTAGCTCCCAGTTGTCTTGACCGATGAGCAGCTGTGGTGACTCCCCTTATAATATAGAGAGTCGCAATCTTCTTCAAGTGTTGACACTCTTCTATCCTTTTCTTTTCTAGGAACTGCGGTGCAAGCTTCAACTCGTCGATGGTCCGGACTCTTCTCAAGGTCTTCTTGGTCTTCTGATGAATCCCCTTCACCGTAAGGTCCAGCATCTGAGAGTCTTCCTTCCTTATCAGTCTGCCTCCAACAGTCTCGATGACCAGTTCCTCCTTTCTTCCTTGAGCGCCGATTTCTTCTGCTACCTTCTGGTCTAGCAGCGACACTGTTGACCCTTCATCCATGAGGGCCAATATCTTCTTTGATCCTTTTGACCCGAAGATTTCTATCGGAATTATCTTCAGGTATGCCCTTGCGTTGTTGACCGCATTCACCGATGCCATGATGCTCGCCACTTCTTGTGGTTTGTTCTTCTGTTCTTCCGAGGAACTTTTCTCTGTCTCGACGTGCAGCAGATGATGATGCCACCTCTTGCATTCCTTGCACGACGGCTTCTTGCAGCTCTCCTTCCGATGTGTCCCTTGTAAACACTTGAAGCAAACGCGGCTTTTCTTCACTATTGCCCATCGATCTTGCACAGACGCCTTCAGGAACTTCTGACACCCGACGAGGAAGTGTTCACCCTCACACATGGGGCAAGTCTTCTCTGATCTTGAAACCTTTTCTTTGAAGTCCTTTTCCTTAGTTGAATGCGTTGCTTGTCGATGAGTCCGTCTGAACCCGCTCTTCTCTTCTGTTGATGCATAGGCTCCACACTTGTCTGCTTCTCTGTTCAGGAACTTGGACACCAGTGTTAGGTCGGAGAACTCGCCTTCTGTTGTTTCAATGAAGTCGTACCATCGGAACTTGAGGATCGTAGGCATCTTCTCAATAATTTGTTTCACCATCTCAGGTGAATGCAGGTACTGTGGTTTCTTCAATCCTTTTATTGCCGCTACGCTGTTGCTGATCTGGCTCGCGAAGAGGCATATGTCCCTTGGGTTTTCAGAAATCTTCGGCAACGTTTTGACCTTGTCCAACTCTGCCAGCACCAGTGCATCTGGTCTTCCATATCTTCTTCTGAGGGCTTGAATCACTTCCATCGGAGAGGCTTCGGAGTACAGCAGACTCTTGATAGCTTCTCTTGCGTTGCCCTTCAGTGCTCTTCTTAGCCGAGCCATATTCTGGACGTTGTTGAACATCGGTGCTGTATCTTCATAGACAACCTTGAAGGCCATCCACTCGCTGCTGTTGCCGTCGAAGTAGGGTAACTCGTGAATGTAGGTTGGCTGTCCTGCTGGTCCTCGCGTGGTAAGAGCTTCCTTCAATGCTGCCGTCAGTGCTTGAATTTCAATCGTAGCTCCTCTCGTTGAGGAGTTCTCTTCAGGCTTCATCTTCTGTGGCTCTTCCAAGGGGTGTGGACCTCGCATCTCTGGTTGAACTTTGTTGCCATCCTCCAGCACAGACGTCTCGATCCAGTTCTGCACCTGTGCTGTTCTGTCTTCCAGGTCTTCATCCACGGAGTCCTCTTCTTCACACTGTGCCATCTCCAATCTGACACGGGCTAGCTTAGTTTCAGCCTGTGCTTGCTTCAACTCCAGGCGTGCCAACTCTTCCTTTGCTTCTAGCTCGCGTCTTCTGGCCGAGGAACTCGTGGTCTTCGTGGACCTGGCGCGACGACTGACCCCCATCGGTTTCAGGGTCTTGGAGGAGCCTTGAACATCCTTTCCAGGTACATCTTCTTGGCTCTTCCTGGTCATCCTCTGTGCAGCATCTTCTTTGTTGCCTTCCATAGACGCCGCCGTAGTTGCAGTCGTAACCGTAGTCTCCGTCACTGTGGTGCCCTCCGTGGTCGTGGTACCCAAAGAAGTGTTCGATGTAGTTGCAGTTCCCGATGACGCCGACGCTGACGTGACCCCTTCTGATCCCGACGTTCCATCTGTCGCGTCCCTATCTGAAGGACGGGACCCGGGACGTGAGGGGGCATCCTTCTGCGACCTGGTTACCGGCATCTTGAACGCAATCTTCTGTTTCTTCTGAACTTCTTCTAGCAGGGATCCGGCTCGAAGGACCAACTGTTTCGGACGACCAGAACCAGGGTATGTCTAGTACCCGGAGGTCGACCTGGGACAATCTCCCAGACGTTCTTGGCGTACACGGCAGTATGTCCGTTCGCTGGTAATGTACGCCACCACGCACCCCTGAATGCGTAGCTTGGGTCCCGATCCACTAGGGTTTCTTCGTTGACAGGAGACTATACTTAGAGGCGATGAAATAAAAACACAATTTTTTCCTTTTTTCTCTCTTGGTTTCGGTTCTTCCTTTTCCTTTTAGTTGTTGCCTCTTCGGTGGCTGTCTTGCGACTGACTCGAATCGAGAAATGGCTCGCCTTTTATTTGGCCCGTTAATACCTTACAGAGAGCCGCGTACTTGAGCTCGTTTTTCGAATAAAATTTCCCTAAACCGAAACCTTGAGAGTCCTTTTATTTTATGTTTTCAGTAAAACACCTTACACATATTTATTTATTTACATGCCTTACATACTATTATACAATATTAAAACATAATATTCAATATATAATAATTAATTAAAAAAGTCTTAAAACAAAAATATCTAAATTTCTAGGTTGCTACATTTTTACTATACATTTTCCCTTATAACTTTTGAACGGATAGTCCTATCGACCTAATTCTTGTTTTATTATAAGTTTTATAATAAAATCTATTATTTAAAACATAAACTATTATGCTATTGCAAGAAACAAAAAATCTCATTTTCAAGTTACGTAATTATATGCTAACATTTTACTTACGTACCTATTCCTTTCAAATTAATGTTAAATAGTCTTATATGATTCAAATAAGCAAAAAATACTCTAAACTAACCTTATTACACTAATTAGAACTTATTTTAACATAATAAATCTAATAAGAATGAGATTTCATATTTACAACAATTATTCATAATACGCTAAAATGACATTGTCCCTATATTAATACACACGTTACTCGAAGATAGGTTTTCCGTCGCCGACAGATATCATTTTAACTTTAACCATTATCTTCTACGGGCTCGATGAATTTAATCTTTTTTTCTGAGATTTTAGGTTCAAATATTAACGTATCCTAATAATACGATTGCTTATAAAATTATACGTTGTATTCAACGATCAATATTTGCATAATGCTTCAGGATATTTCACTAGAAACCTAGTTATGGAGCCTTATTCGCATCAAACAGGTTAGTCAATCTTTTTGCCAACGCTACGCTTACCCACATATGTATTATTTATGTTATAACTAGTCCGAAATGCTAGTAGAGTAAATTTATAAATACATACATACATATTATTCTGATACACAGAATATATATATATATATATATATATATATATATATATATATATATATATATATATATATATATATATACTTGCAAATTCTATTATCATTTTGGATCCTGCATTTTGGATGTTTTTTGTAGTTTATCCAAATATATTCATTTCATTGTATAGTTCATTTTTATGTTTGTAGGTGTTCGTGTGTATACATTCATAGGTAAATAACAATATTTGTATCCTTACAAAACCATCACTAGACCTATACTATTAATTTATTGTGAAAAAAACTTGCAATATCATTTCATTCTTATAACAAATATTAAGTGTGCGGCACAATGACGGTAAGTTAAATATACATGTCTCATCTGCTTTTGTCCATTTTTGTCGCTTTTGCTTGACAAAATTTAAGAGTCGGAACTGTTTAGTTTCAACATAATAATTTGCCTCTTTCAGAGTACAACGAAATTTCTACATCTTTATAAAATTAGTAATAGACAATAATACTAAATGTACATAAGAATACAAATTAAATAAATAATTTTATTGTAGTGTACCTAAGTATATTTTTTACAATTGTATCTACCGTATTGTAATTTCTAAAATTTTTACAGAGGAAAATAATCAAGATATAAATGCATCTAACTCGTGAGTATGAATTTCCAATAAATTTTTGTCATTTTAACATATGTACGTATTTTTACACACTTATTAATATATTTTAGATGGTGGTATAAATTATGTTTGCGATGTCACCAAGCTGACCCCACGCCTGCATGGCAACCGATATGGTGGAAAAAAGTATTTCCTTTTCCAATTTTTTCCACTTTCAGGCAATCTGCACAACAGTTATGTATCATATTATTTTGTAAGTACATATAAATCTCTCCATATTACTTTAATAACACGTACTGCAGGCCATGTTTTCTTTTTTTGTTTCTTTACTTTTACCCTTCTATATGTTCGCCAATCATTAGGTATCCATTTTTTTAATGTTGGGAAATGCCTTTAGGCATACCACCCGCATACATATAAGTGATGTTATGTAGGACTCACCGACAAAGCCAGTACTACCCATTAAAACCCAACGGAACCTCCCCCGTCGTAATGGGGCGTCGCAGGATCGCTTACGCACTCAACCACGAGTCCCCGAAGGCAGGTCTGCCGAAGCAGACCATAACAACCACGGAGTTGCTCCAACAGTCTACTCTGCTATCAGAGAAGTACCAGGAGCAATCTGCATGGTACACCGCCCACCGAGGTGGGTCGACTCAAAATGCGTTTCTTGGCTTCGCGCCTGGCTGAATTGCCGGATGCTAATCCCTCCGTCACTACAAGATGAACGGACATTGGGAGGGGGAAGGGGTGGCTACCGTTATTTATCCATGCAAACCTACGATTTCCTTTCTAGTAAAGGATCACTTTAAGCGATAAGGCCGCCTTTACACTGTTTGTTTTTACATTGTACTTTTTTGTGTAGTAATAGAGGATTGAATAAATAAATACACGTAGTAATTTACTATTTAGATTATTGTAGAAAAAGTTTAATATTTTGATTTCTAAAATGTGGCATCAATGCACAAACTCAGATTTAACCCATTATAAGTTACCAACGTCGTGGTTCGGTGGATGGTGGACAAAACGCTGGAACAGTATAGATGTGAATGGAAACTATTGGTGGTATTCCCCACAGACAAATTGCAAGCTAACTACAGACTTGTGTCAAGTATAGTACATATTTAGTCAATGGATAAAATTATATTCAATTGTGTTTAGATGTTGTCTATAAAAGTAAATATCAAAGTACATATTTAAATATCTTAAGATGATTAAGTAGGTAATTGGCAAACTGCTGTTTCTAATTCCAAAAACAATCAGGACCAAAATTTAATCACCACGACCACCAAGAAAAGTTCCTATACCTATATCTAATTCATATAATACCTTTTTTAGTTTTCCTAGTTTGGGGTATTTTGTACGCTGAACTCGGCAATACAGTTAGTATAGATGGAGAAATATTGAGCATGACATTACTGGTCATCGCAGCGTACTTAATTGGCTGGATATGGTTAAAAGTTACCACGCTACCAGCGCTTATAGGCATGTTGTTAACTGGAATAATTTTTCAAAATTTAAATTTAGTGTACATGACTGAGGCATATCGGAAGCTTAACCAAGATTTGAGGTGAGAATAAACAGTTTTATTTGTTTAGCATTTGTCTTCCTTTTACCGATTAATTACTGTTACGTGATTTAAACTAGTCTAAAAAGCAAATGGTGACGCAAAACTTAGTATTAGATCGAAATTAATTACATTGCAAAAATATGCAGTTTTTTATTAATAATAAACAGGATATTAGGCTTTTTGAGTCACTAAAGTTATTATGATAAAAAGCCGACGGAATTTTGTTATAAAACCTAATTTAATTAAAAAAAACAAGTGTATTATGTCCATAATTTTCACAGTCCTGTGACAAAAACGGAAATAATCATTTTCCTTCTATTATCTAACAAAATTGGATAATTTAAGATCTTTACAGAAAAATCGCTTTAGTAATAATATTAATGAGAGCCGGTCTGGGTCTGGATGCAGGAGTACTTAAGAAACACTATATAGCTGTTTTACAACTTGGACTACTGCCGTGGCTTGTAGAGTGTATAGCAATCAGTGTTACCACACATTTTCTATTAAATTTGCCATGGATATGGGGTAAGTAGATAAATCAAAAATATATTAACAAGAATTACTCATTTTTACTCTACAGATAAGTCAAATAACCAGAGTTTAAAAAACCTTCACTTTGGCTTTGTTGCTAGAGTTTCGCTTGGATATATTTTTATATCCTAACTAACCTAAACTCTGGAAGATGAATGATGTGATCTCAACAAGCTGAGATCTAAAGTTCATATACCCAGAATCATCTGTTCTAACATGGATGGCTGATGTTTTGGCATGGCATGGCTGGTTCTTTAAAGCAAATTTAAGGATGAGCCGTAAACATCGAAGCCTCCAAAAAATATGTGGGCTAGATAAGAAAAATCTAAAACTATAATATAAAATGTTTTTAATTAACTGCAGATTACAATTTTACTCATACATAATACATATACATATTTTATTAAAATTTAATATTATTTTCAGGTTTTCTTTTAGGTTCTATGATAGCTTCAGTTTCACCGGCAGTGGTTGTACCATGTCTATTCAGACTACGAGACGCTGGTTATGGTGTTTCTAAGGGTATACCAACACTACTATTGGCAGCAGCCGCCATAGACGACTCTGTTAGTGTTGCTGTATTTGCTATTATTCTAAACGCAATGTTCTCCACGGGATCTATGACATTCAATATTATAAAGGTATGTAAAATTTAAATAAAAATTGGGCGAAATTTATTATTACTTTTAACTTTTTAAATTAAAGCTTATATTTACTCTAGGGCCCACTTTCAATAATAGTGGGAGTGGTGTTAGGATCGCTGTGGGGCGCTTTTGTATCAGTTGTTCCAGAAAAAGGCGATATATATGTTGTTCCATTAAGGTTTTTGGCTTTATTTTTGGGTGGATTGTTTTCACTGTTTATATCAAGCTTAATTGGGTGGAGTGGCGCAGGTAAGAAATCTAGAATATTGTACTAAATAATAAAAATTACTCAGTGATTTAAAATTCAATATAATTTTTTTTCAGGTCCCTTAGCTATTGTATCATCCGGTTTTATAGCCGCGTACTATTGGGATAAGCAAGGATGGCCCGTAAATAAAAATCCTGTTAGTAACCTATTTAGAATTCAATGGATTTTCTTTGAACCTATCTTATTTGCTTTTACCGGCGCACAAATAACAGTGAGTTATATTAATTATAACTGTGGTCGAATTATTTCATTCATTTTTAGAGATATATAAAATTGTTTTCATTTTCAGTTAAGTGCCTTAGATCCTCAAGTCATAGCTATGGGAGCAATCTGCTTAGTGTCCTGTCTTGTATTACGAGCCATTTTTACATTTTTTATTAGCTTCGGATGTGGTTTGAATGCAAAGGAAAAATTCTTTATTGGACTGACTTGGTTGGCCAAAGCTACTGTTCAAGTATGTATTTTAAAACACAAGAAAAAAAGATAAATTCGATTTAAATTAAATGTTAAATCCTTTTTCGAATGCCACATATGATCTATCAAATGAATTGGGCTTACTTAGAAAGATGAAAATATATATTTTTAATATTTTAGGCAGCTTTAGGTCCCGCTGCATTAGATTTAGTCCACAGTGGACAAACCACTGGTGTTAGCCCAACAGAAGAGGAAAAATATGCAAAAACAATTTTAGCTGTAAGCGTTCTTAGTGTGATTATATCAGCCCCCATCGGGGCTATACTTATCGCACTTACAGGGCCTAGATTACTCAGTCGAGATTGTAAGTATAAATATGTATATACAAATAATTTATTTGAGATTTTCTTAAATTTTGTAATATATTTATAAAAATCACCTAAATACATATTAATTTGTGAACTTTATATTTTGCAGCGGACACTAAAGCTGTGGGCATAGAAAATGAACATAATATAGCTGTTAATAATACACCATTATGATGTAAAATTTAAATTATTTTAAAATAATTGATTATGATCATTTAATCATTGTAAATACTTATATGGATTGCGTACCTCAACTTATTTTTTTAAATAAAAATAATATGTATTTTGTTTAGGTTTTTTTATGTAGCCCTTCTCTTACGTTGTATATTATATTATGTCAAAAAATTGCAGAATTAAAAATATTTAAAGAGTATAAGACGAACAGCTCTAATAATAATTATTAAAGAACAAATTAATTTAATTTAGTCAATTATTACTCTATTCAGAGATGTTAAGTGACGAAAAATCTAGTATTGCTGGAAATAAGCGTTCTCTAGTATTAGTCTTTACAATTTGAGATAAATATAAAATTGAAGTATAATTTTAACCAACAAAACATTTTACTCAGTTTCATTTGAGCATTAGTTGTTAACTACAAATAAATCTCAAAGTAGTTTTAAAAAATATAAATCATGGACATCCTTCAGATAGAGAAGGACGAAAACACAAAAACTGATTGGATGTGTCAAATATTTATGTCGTTATGTCCATAGGTCTATGTCACTGACCTCTATCAGTGGTATTATAGAGGTCAGTGGTCTATGTAATTTATGCCAGGGCTCAATGAAAGACGTTTATTGAAAGGAGAGCACTAAACGAATGATCTATTTACTTTCAATCTGAGGCTAAGCAATTTATTATGACATCACTTCTGTACCTGGTTTTTTCTTCTATTGTGTTGGCATCTTACCTGTGCAATGTATTATACCTGGAAGTTGAAACTACTGAAAACCAGCTGAAACTTCCTTCAGCTTCACCTCGTGCCCCTCTCTTTCTTCCTTCCATTGAGAAGGAGCGGTGCATCTTGTGGTGTTCCTGAATGACTAATAAATCAACACACAGCTTAACGCTGGTCGTAGAAACGTGTAATTTGGAGGACATATTCCTTATTTCATGTAGGTACCCGATAAGAAAGATTTTTTGAAATTCATTCCCTAAGTGGGAAAAACAGAGGATTAAAAATTCTATGAAACTATGTCATTTTTAAATGTGTTACGTGAAATACACAGAAAGTGTATTTAGGTTTATAAGAAAATGATGCTTAAATTCATCCCTTAAAGGGGTAAAGGGGGGTAATAAAGTTTATATGGGCTAAGAATTATTTATGATCAGAATTACATAAAACTTGGTGTTAATGTTCTTCAATACAATTAAATATCAATCCTTTATGGGGGTAAAATGGGGCATGAAAGTTTGTATGAAACTCTAATTTATATGTAAAAAAAGTACAAAAAAATTATCTGTAGACGATTTAAGAGTTTTAAAATCACTTTCTTTAAAATGATCTCCACATAGCATTAAATATGTATAAAGATTGTGAATTCACCAATTTTGGTCGTCTTATTGCCTTAGCCCACAATTTCTTCAGTTTTTATCTTTTGGAAACAAAAGATATTCATTTTCTTTGCATTCTGGTACTGAACAATTTGTCATTTTAATTAAATTTTAAATAAAATTAAAAAAACCATCCACGCTGTATAGCTTTACAATATACTGAGGACAATAGTGATCGCGACATCTGGCAGAAGAAAATGGCAAAATTCTTGCCCATTTCGTGGTCTGTACCTATCTTCGTTCGTGCTTTCGTCGCAGTGGTACTTGGTAGCCCAGTGGTAACGCGCTCGCTTGGGAAACCGAGTGAAGCGGGTTCAAATCCGGGGTGTCGCACCTCTGATATTTACATGTGCGAATCATTTCCAACATAATTACCACTTGTCTTAACTGTGGAGGAAAACATCGTGAGGAAACCTGCATGTCTGAGAGAACCTTGCAAGTTTTCAAAAGACATGTGAAGTCCGCCAACCCGCACTTGGCCAGCGTGGTGGACTATGACCTGATTCCCCTCGTACTGAAGGGAGGCCCGTGCCCAGCAGTGGGACGTTAAAAAGGGCTGAATACACACCTATCTTCGTAGATTAAAAACATAATGAAATTCTAAAATCTCAATAGGTACTGATTCGGGATTCCTGAATAGTGAATCCTGACTTTGACATTTGACATAAAAACAAAATGTTTGACCTGTACTGTCTTATCTTGTAAATAAATAATAACTTAAAATGTATTTTGCGTTTTTCGAAATACTTTGAAGTTAAATTGAATACAGAGTTTAAAAAAATATATTTATAATGTCAGTAATAGTAATTGCAGTTGCATCCGATAGCGGAGTTCCTATATTTTCAAGAAAACGCGGCAATAATGATAATGTGAGTTCTTACAACATTTTAAAAACATTGTTTTACCATATTTTAATACAAACACTTACATAAAAAATATTTTAATAACGATTCAGATCCAGTTTTCAACTATAGCGTCATTACATGGAATAAATATGTTTACGAAATGCCACAATTTATCAATGCGAAATACTGAAGTGGATAGTGGAACTATAATATGGAAAGAATACTGTAAAAGGTATAGTAATACCTACCCTTAATGTATAATATTTTTGTAAAAAGTTTCCGAATTTATACAATTAATTCTTTCACAATAGATAACTACATTATTCCAGAGTGCAATGAGCTATAAATAATATTGTTATAGCTTTTTTCCTGACTGCCTAGCTAGTCAGAAATATTTAATTTTAAGAAATATTTATTAAAAAAATTTGCATGGGCTGCCTAACAGTTGTTAAAAAGTAAAAATAATGTATGGAAAATATGTAGATTGTAGACCTTTAATAGTTTTATAAAAAAAACTCCTTTTGGGTCACTTTTTTAATAATAAAAAAAATGAAAAGAATAAATATATTAGCAACATAATTACCTACATATATAGTAAATTAGGTACATTGAACATTTATAATTATCAAGTATATATTTTATAAATCCATTATTACTTAACTTTATTGGTGACATTTTGGAAATATGATGATGTTCTCCTGACCGATTCCGGCCACGGCGGCCAATCTCATTGAGACTAGCCAACGGCGCAGGAGATATTATAGTGCACAAGTGTACGCGCAGACACAAGTGCACTCTCTATTCCTATCACCTCATACTCCGGTGGGACGACTGCTCGACACGACCGGTAAGAGTTAAGGCGCAGGACCGACGGCTTTACGTGCTCTCCGAGGCACGGGGGTGAAACACCGCCAACTTCCCAACTCCGGGCTGTTACTGAGACTTACTATACAGAAAGACTCAATAACTAAACTTGGCCCGACCCGGGACTCGAACCCAGGACCTCCGGGTGTGCAGCCGTACATGCTAGCCACTACACCACCGAGGCAGTTTTGGAAATATAATTAAGAGTAGAAGAATGATTTGAGTGGTCCAGACTACAATATTCTTGTAAGTTTTTATTAACCTTACTTATTTCTTTTGTAGTGTCACATTAATTGGTATAGCAACTGGAGGACTTGAATGTGATTTAGAATTGCTTCTTTCATGTATTCATGATGTAATGATCTTTTGCATTGGCAAGAAGGAATTAGAAAATTTAAAGAATATTGATCAAATAAAAAGAGATCTAAGGCAGTGTTATCCAATTCTTGATTACTTATTGGAAACATTAGATCCAAATGCTATGCCACAATCAACAATTGTCCTGGACTTTATACAGAGTTTGCTGTGTCCTCAAGCACAACAAATACAGGTTTCACTTATTTATTATTCTTATTTTATTCAAACTAAATAGAATATGGCTAAAATAAATTATATTTAAAATCACTGAATTCTAATACTTTACATAATTACAGCAAGTTCTAGATAATTATGCACAAACAGTGACTGGTCGGTATGCATGTCTTACAATTCATGGACATTTGGTTGCATGTAGTTCAGACTTTTACGAATTGGATATGAGAGAAGCAAGGCTACTTCTCTTACTTGCTACAACACAAGATGGTGCTCCATTGCGAGATACACTAGTTTATTTACCACAAATGAGTCCTAATGTAAGTTAAATGTTGTTGTTGTTATTTGTGATTTATATCTGTATATAATTTGTTTGATGATTGTAAACAGATTTTAATTCTTTTTTTTTTATTTAATAGACTTACCTGGTTTAAATTTTCTATTTAATGATAATGATAATGGTTAAGTTTTCTATTTAATTGGTAATCTATTTGGTTTTTGTTTACATAAATGAAAATTATAATTTGCAGTTTACTCGTAAAAGAGTATACAAAGGGCAAACAGACATTCCCTTAAAATATGTAATTTTATTTTTTTAATATATTTCAGGTAGCATTCAGGGCAGTGACATGCAAGCTTTTAGCAGATGTATATGTACTAGTTATATGTGGAGCGACCCCTGCTTTGTCACAAATAGATGAAATGGTCCTTCAGTGCTGGGAAGGTTATGCACAAATTATAAAGGAAGCGAAATTAATATACCCGAGAAACTTCCCAATGAGCATTTCCTTTGATCCTGCTTTATTAGGGTGAGTGTTATTTTTACATATTTATAAAAAAAATCTTCTGTATTTTAGGTACAAGTAGAATTTATGTAAATAAATTTGTAAAAAACATGTAGCTATGTTATTTTTATAAATAGCCTAGTCATTTCATGAAAAGGACAAATGGACAAAAATACATTTACCATCCCCAAATGTTTGATGTGACCTTATTTTTGTATTAAAAACACGGTCGTCCGTGGTCTCCACCTATTTCATTTACTCTTCCTCAGTATATGGCCATTCTTCCTACATGCCTATTGCCCAATCATCCAAGTTCATTTTCTTTTATTCTTACCATATATTTATTGTCCCAGGATCTTAGTAATAAACATAAATAAGCGCAGATGTGTGTTTTCCCGTCACGTGCACGGCTCGAACCAAAAGAACAGAGGGATGTCTGGAGTCCACAGGATTGATATACTGAGAACTTTCTATGTAACCACTGCAAAGGAACTAGTGCCTGAACTCAATGTGAATGAGGATAAAGGTAAAAATATGAATAGTTGGTCAAGTATGAATTTGTCTCACGCAAATAAATTTTCTTACTTATACAATTACTAGCGACGCGATACGTTTTGACGGTTAGTATACCTAGATTTCTTAGAGATGAGATATTTTACCGACTAAAAAGTATCCTAAATGTTGACCCAGACAACCAGTTATCACCATACCAAATTTGATCAAAATCCATCCAGTGGTTTTCCCGTGATGCTTTCCCAGACAGACATACAAAAATTCTAAAAACTATAGATTCTGCCTCTGTATTGATCATAAAGACTATTTCAATAAAATTTTCCTAAAAAATAGTTAATGTGCATATTCAAAATATCATGAATAAATAAAATTGCAATAACAATGTAACTTAGTACCCAACTTGAGTATAATTTAAAATTCTTTTTTTGAACTTCTTGAACTTTTAATGACTGTACTAATTCTGATATTCCTTTACTATTTACACTAGCAACTCACTTTCGCTTCGCTCGTGTTTATCCCTAGGTTCATTCCCCAAACAAATTTTCATCCCATTTTCACCACCTTAAGGGATGATTTTCGGTATAAAAAGCATCCTATGTCCTCCCCCGGGTCTTAAACTATCTTCTTACCAAATTTCATCTAAATCGCTTGAGAAGATCCAGAAATTACCTCACAAACTCATTACAACCTCACAAACTTTACCTCTTTATAATATTAGTATAGATTGTAACTTTTCAGAGTGTATAGAAGGTGTTATGAATGAAACATATTGGTGTTCTGAATATCACAAATGCCACGCACAACGCTCTGGTAACCTTCTATGCTGTGCTCTGTACGCGCCGGCCGTGCCTAACCACACTATGAGGTAAACTCTTATATTTTAAAACTACCTGCATACATACAATTAATTATGTGGTGACTCACCGATTAGAAAAGCCAGTAGTTTCCACTAAAACCTAACGGAATTTTCGTTTTAACGGGACGTTGCAAGATCACTTACGCATTCAACCACGACGCCCCGACCGCAGGCCCGTCGAAAGAAACTTTCCTCTCCATGCATCTCCCCAACTCATCGACTTTGGGTTTAGGGGTAATTTTTAATGTGATTGTCCCCCTCCCGCCCATAAATTTAGCCGCCTTTTAGGCGTTTCTTGGGTGGATTGATGAACACTAATATATAATTCCAGCTTGGAAAACTAGCCTCAGCCAGAATGGCTAATAAGACCAAAATTCGACATGAAAACATCATTGTCATAGTTCTTATTCAGTTATTCATTTAAACTCACTGGTCTAGTACTTTGCACTTTCAACTGCAAATCCTGGGTTCGAGTCTTAGGCTGGGCTAAGTATTGGGTTTTGCCAATTTTTCTGGTGGTGTTACCAAACATGATGGCGAGACAGAACATGCGTCCTCGGTCCTGCGGCTGACCTCCACACATTTAATTATCTACTCAGCAGACTGAAAGACTACTTACATACCGATAAGTTTGTAAATTCTAATTATATCTCTTGCAGGTTATTAACCTCACAAATTCTGCAGGACTTATCAACAAACAGAGAGATTTACTGGTAATATATAAGTTACAATTGACACAAACATTCCTTCCATAAAACTATCTTTTCGGATTTTTTGCAGATTTATTTTGATTTTTGGTTCCCGGCGTTTCGAATGCTTTACAGCGTTTACGGGAGAGATTAAGGTTTTAGATGTCTCACAGGTCTATCTGTCTATTACAGACAGAAACGTCAGGAACTAAAACCCATAATAAATCCGCTAAAAAATCCAAAAAGATAGTTATTTAATATGTAAAATGTTCACGTAAATCTAAGAAAGTATTGTTATACCGTCCATATATAATTAGAAGAAATAAAACATCACAAATGTTGCAGCATTTTTATTTATTACCAGACATTCAATCACTAAAACACATGTACTCAATATCTGAACTATGCTCATATATGTATAAGTCACTAAAAAGGCAATTTGATTATCATCTAAAATTCCACAGTCGACATTTAGATGAAATTCAGTCTGTTACGATGACATTATATGAGAAGTATCAATACTGTGTATGTATTTACTATATAAGCTAAAATAAATAGGAAATAAAAAGAGGATATTAAAGAGGTTTTAGGACATGTAGCACATATTACTACTTAATCTAAGTCTAGAAAATGATTTGATAATATTAATTCTTGCGCTGCCTACTATTCAGTTTTTTTATATATATGTGTGGTTGTACGTTGACATATTAGTATATCTATTGCATTTTTGTTACAAGATAAAATAGAACCTCTTTTAATAACTATCATTATATATAAAAAAAAAACTTCCTAATATAAAAATGGTTCAAATTAAGCAAATAGCTGTCTGTAATGAGAAAAATCGCAATAATATAAACCCAACACATTTAATAAGGCGCGTTTAAAATGCATGCAAAAGCGTCCAAATGCAAATACAGATAGATGTTCCTCGTATTGTATCACAGTACAAAATATAGCGTGCGACTAATAATATATTACATATCACCGATTATATCACTTATTTAATAAAGAATGTACATGTTGCAGAAACATTCAATTATCCAATGTTTTTTCTTATATTCTTAATCCCTCCACGACCGCGGACACGCCAGCGTTACAGTTAACAATAGATTTCTTAGAAATTTAATTAATTTCTTAGAAATTTACCTGGAGGTGTTAATGACGTACAAGTGGCGCTATCTTAACAACGTTGCGTGATACATTCCACTGTTACAAATTCTCTATAATATAGTACAGTATCACAATCTAAAATGATTTGCATTTAGTTGTTTAAATATTATTTTAAACATATTAAAATTTTGAAAAGATGTATACTGCAATTTCTATGAATTATTTTTTTTTACATAAATCATGGAAATAATCGATTAAATGCCGCTGTGATAATGAAATAAAAATACTTATTATGACTGATAGTGAACACATATTATGAACATTATTTTAATTTTATTTTTCCAAAAGTCCTCGATATATTTAATTGGCAAGCAATTTAAAGCATGAATCACATTTGAGAATAATTTAGGAAAAATAAGTATCACATAGTAATTGATATAGGTATGTACTTCGTTATAAAATACAAAACTTGTAAAAAAAATAAGAAGATTAGCAAATGCAAATGTTTATGGAACAATTTGAAAACAAAAAATTAAACTGCCAACCTAAGCACTTAGTTAATATTTTAAATACCAACATGAAAATAATTAAAAACATACATTCCAAACAAAAATATGATTCTTTTTATGTTGATGTCTTAAAAATGAAAATAAAATTTTCATATCATTTTCTTACAACGCAATATATCCATGATTTATTTAACCTCTTAAAAATATTACAGATAGTTTCTAGAGAATGTCTCCATTGGATATATCAAATAAAAAAAGTGTTTTATACAGCACATACTCAGTATTAAATATTTAGATAAATGCAACTAGGTCACAATTCCACACAAAGCTAAAGATTACTCCTCCAAAATGGACTAAGAACTATTTTGCCAAATATAGGCTGGTGTAGAATGTTGTAATTCAGTTTCCATAAATCTACTCTATGCCTTACACATTAAAATAAAGTTGCATTGTGTTTGATACAGTACCTGCTACCTTTTATGTAAGTACTGGAACAGCAAAGGCGTAAGACCACATTTACAATCACAATTTTTGTTATTGATGAATAAAAATGCTTCTATAAGCAATTTTACTGCATGTAAAGTTTTACATTTTTTAATTATATCCGACCTATCAACCACTTAAGTTAGTTTACCATATAATATTTTTTTTATATAATAGATTACTTACGCCTTAGTTGTTCTAATAACGTAATAATTAATATAATTCTTTTGTTGATTCCACATAAAACTCAGTATCACTCCACTGCATTTAAAAAAAAATTCAAACATGATTTTATCATAGGATTCTACATTTTGATATTTGGTAAAACTATTGAACTAGATCTATTCTACAAAGTTTTTTTGTATCCTATTTCCCATTTTAGTAAAGATCTCACTTTTATTTGTTATATATGTTAATTGTTTATTGATTATATGAACTTACAAAGTTTATAATTCCGTATTGCTAAGCACTTTTATATTGGAATCTTCACTTTAGGGCACTTTCACTTATAAAGTCCTTGACCTTCCTTTGTTAGAAAATACTATTTGAAACTTCCGAGTAGCCTGCATTGTGGCTGTTTAATTTTGCACTTTAACTGTTGTATGAGATCAAATATTTTGAGAGATGGTCCGACCTTCATTTCTAAGAGTTCGATGATTTCATCTTTTGACAATTGTAGCATCATAGGGCCAGTTATGTGTGTGAAGTTTATGCAATATGGCTGACAGTCGTTAACTGTTAGGAACTTTGCCACATCTGCGGTAGTCCAGTTCTCTGGGTCCACTGAGTTTAACACATCTAAGGGCACTGTTGTATTGACTAGCCGAGGTATCACTTTATCATCCTCACTCTTCACTGGAATATCTTGTAAAACTGGATTTATTGTTTCAGTTGAATCTTGAGATACATCTGTTGGAGTTTCTGTATTCTGTAAATTAATTTTAATTATGTAAAAAAATATATATACAAAAAATCTTATCTTGCTCATAAAAATGTTCATGCTTGTTTATAAAAAGGTTGGACTGACATTATGTCATACAAATATGTATACAATTTGAAGAACTCAAATTAGGAAGTTCTGTTAATAGTAGGGGAGCCCAAGAGGGGATTTTCTGTAGTTACTCAAGCGCGGCAGATTAACATAAAAGAGGTTACCTTGCACTCTATTGAGTACTTTCACCACAACATAAGTCTTCTATATAAAGGGGCGCGTCTAGGGAAGCTGATTAAAATATTTAAAAAATGTTTTGATAAGGTAGAAATACTTGAAACCGTCAGATTAAGGTGTGGTAGGCTAGTCACATCCTGAAAAGTGTCCAATATAATAATCTGCCAATTTGCACAAGCCTAAGAGGCAAAAATCATCATAAACTTTATAGTCGATTTTTCGGCTTCCTCGGCTTCCCTAGACGCGCCCCTTTATATAGAAGACTTATATTATGGTGAAAGTACTCACTAGAGTGCAAGGTAACCTCTTTTATGTTAATCTGCCGCGCTTGAGTAATTACAAAAATCCCCTCTTGGGCTCCCCTACCATAAGTCGCCCCTTCTACGCACTCCTATACAACAAAATTAGGGTCATATTTAATTATTCTGCAGATAAAATAGAAAATACACAACTAAAACGGTAAAGTTAAATTCAAAATATTTTATTCAGCATTGAATTATTACAATTTTTATTGAACGTCATGGGTGTACTACCAGTTAGAAAAGAAGAAACCTCTGACCTGAGAACTGGCAAAGGAAACTCGGCTAATATTATTTCGTTACCTTTTTCTTTTACTGGGACCATGTGCTTTCACCATTCATACTGACTATTGTCATTTTGCTAATTAGCAAATATTATTATTTATTACGAGCACTATAACAATAAAAAAAAAGTAAAGCTTTTTTTATTTTGAATATAATCATTTAATTCTAATACATATTTATTGATATAAATATATGTGCACTTGGATATACATATATTGATACCTACATCTAAAAGTTTTTATCAATGCTTATCATGCGTATTATTTAGTATGTTTTTATAATATAGAATAAAAACCTAATCCAAATGGAGTACCTCCTTTTTTCACTACTTAATAACGATGACGATCAATAAATAACAACTTACCAACACTTCTTGATTATCTGTTAACTTCTCTTCCACTTCAGGGGTAGCATTAGATTCACTAATAATTTCCATTTTGACGGCTTCCTCACGATTTTCCACATCTGCCGATACTTCAGACACACTGGTGGGGGGCGAGAGACTCTTTGCATCACCAATGTCTGAGTTTTGAGAACTTTCCTCCGTTGTGTTTGGCGGCTGAGCTGATACTTTTGGTGCTAAAAATTAATTAATTATTATCATTATTTGGTCTAGTATCATCTAGTCACTTTTAAAAATAATATCAAAATTGGAATTTCGGACAAACACGTATAAGAAATCAAAATATATAATAACGCTATCTATTTGAAGTAATATTTATTTGTTTCAGTTAAAAATCAAGAGTTTGTACTTCGCTTGTTGTATGGTCTATACTGTACTTGTATTTCACCTTTTTTTAACATTGGAAAATGCATTTTACCACCTGCATACATCTGGGTGGTTATGTGGTACTCACGGGCTAAAGAAGCCAGCACTACCCACTAAAACCCAAAGAAACCCCCACCTTTTCACTTCATTATTATTTTTTCTCAAGTTCAATGTCTTCTGGTAAAGATCTCTTAAAGAAATAGTCATCCTTTGTAGTTTGTACACAAGGTATCTGTTTTCTATTATTATGTATTTTTTGTGGCACATAAATAAAATAAATAGTAATATTATATTATGTAATTATCTATACTAATATTATAAAAAGGTAAAGTTTGTGAGTTCGTGACGTTGTAGGGGGTCATCTCTGTATCTACTGAACCGATTTAGATGAAATTTGGTAAGAGGATAGTTTTAGACCCTGGGAAGGACACAGGATACTTCTTATCCCGGAAATCATCCCTTAAAGGGGTAACAATGGGGATAAACGTTTGCATGGGGAATCAACCTATACGAACACGAGCGAAGCGAGGATGAATCGCTAGTAATAAGTAAATCTACACTATGATCGTACCCTGTCTCCGTCTGCGCCGCGCCGGTCTCGCGGGCGGACGGCGCGCAACCCGCGGCGGCGGCTGCAGCGGGCCCTCGAGCCGGTGGCCCACAGCGCGGCACCAGCCCACCGGGTACACGTCCGTGCTGTGCGCCCACAGCCACTGGTCGTACTCGGAGCCCCAACCATCGAAGTGTACCTGCGGGGGGATTCATATTGAGTTTAGTATTCAGACCCCTTTTAACGTCCCACTGCTGGGCACGGGCCTCCCTTTAGTACAAGGGGAATCAGGCTATAGTCCACCACGCTGGCCAAGTGCGAGTTCGTAGAGTACACATGTCTTTTGAAAACTTGCTGGGTTCTCTCAAGACATGCAGGTTTCCTCACGATGTTTTCCTCCACCGTTAAGACAAGTGGTAATCATGTTGGAAATGATTTGCATATGAAAATATCAGAGGTGCGAAAGACGGGATTTGAACTCGCTTCACTCGGTTTCCCAAGCGAGCGCGTTACCACTGGGCTACCACTAGTTAGCAATTTTAGTAATAATTATAATAAACTTAAGATCATTAGACATGACAAGCATAGAGAAACTGATAACCTCGGGCCAAATCGACGGTGAACACGCACGGGGAAGGACACCTATGAGGTGGTAGGACGCGATTAAGAAGTCATTTTTAATTATTATGTTTGTTTATTAAATTTTTTTATTCGTCACAGACTATTTCTCAACAGTTTTGTTAATTTGTATAATAAAATTTGATTTGGTATAATTTCAATGACCCAGGCACTACTGGCAGCAGTTGTCTCTACTGGCAGCCCCGCTCCTTGCCGCAGTCCAAGCATCGCTAAAACGATCAGACTGGAAAAAAATCACAACTGGTCGCGATCCTCATCAATCAGGGAACGAGGGCAAAGAATAATAATAATTAATAACCCTTTATTGTACATACAAAAAGAAGACGAAAACAATACAATGGCAAGAAAATGCACTATCGCTAAAACAGCGATTTCTTCCAGGCAACATGTAGAAAATCGCATAAGCTAAGGGATTAGTGGTTGTTATTATTATTATTTTCTATGTATTTTTGTAGCTACTGTTGGAAATTCAAATACGGCCTTTTTTCAGCAGTGGACGGCGATAGGCTGATTGATTGAAAGTTTATACATATTTAACATACCTTGAGCAAGTCTGCGACGACCCGGGCGACCGTGGCGACGCACACGAGCCGCGGGTCCATGAGGTCGGCGCACTCCAGGCGCATGCCCGCCACGAACCCGTGCGACACGACGTGGCCGCGCGACACGAACGCGCCGCGCGGCGCCGGCGCGCTGCCCGTGCGCGACAGGTGCGCCTCCCACTTGAACGTCTCTGATGTTAGACTGTTCACAAACAAAACGAGCGTGAACGTTGTTAGAACAGTCGTTCTATTCACGACTTCTCATAATAATAATTAATATATTTCTCGTTTAGCTTACAACGTTTAGTTGTAGAAAAAGGTAAATTAATATAAACAACTAGTTAATTTTTTTTTCATGGTTTCATTTGAACATCCCTAAATAAAAAAAGAACACGTAGTAGAACTCTAAAATTGTGTACTTTTAATGTCTCTGGTATTAAAGCTTAAACTTTAATATGTAAACGGATAAAAGACAATGCTAGCTCAGTGGTAACGCGCTCGCTTGGAAAACCGTGTGAAGCGGGTTCAAATTCCGGTATCACTCGCACTTCTGATACTTTCATGTGCAAATTACTTTAGAAACTTCATTGTGTAAAAACCTGCATGTCTGAGAGAAACTAGCAAGTTAGTTTAGAGAGGCCCATACCCAGCAGTGGAACGTTAAAAAAGGGATGAATACAAACAAATTCGACCAGCGAGTGATAAACTAATAAACATTATATACACACACAAAAACGAGCTTAAAAAGCTACTAAAAATTTTATAAAAAAAATTGACTAAAAAATAAAAAGCAAACACATACCCTGCCGGTGGCACCAAAGGTATGTTATTGGCAAGAGCAAAGCCCACTGGAAAAATGCATGGAGAGCGCTGATGATAACAAAACCAATCAGCTCCAGATGCATCTGCTGGATAACAATCTATCCTTATCATCATGTAACCTTCATTCAATATCTGCATCACTGTAGCAGCACAAACAGCTGACAAATTCAACGGATCTATTGCCTCTAATTTCATGCCTTCAGAGAATAATGGCGGTTCGTTTGTAGGATATTTGTAGAACATTTCAGGTGTTGTATCATTGGGCATAAATCTTCCTGAGGCAACACGTTGGCAGTAATTCTGTGGCGCATCAAGAGGGTGGCCCACACGAAAGGCCCAACCAACTGGATGGATCAACGGTGAATCCTCATGACACCAAAAACCGTTATCTTCTGGGGAACTGTCATAGTATTTTACATGTAACCTCTTGCCTATGATTTCACAAACACTTGCTACCTGTAATTAATTGCTTTTTACTAAAATGTGTATATTAAGCCTTTAGTGCACTTTATGATTAAAAAAAAACAAATATTAAATCTGTGGGATTGTGCAAGTACACTCACCTTTACTTGTGAAATTCTATTTTTGTCTACAACTTCCATAATAGAGCCAATTGAAAACCTTGATACAAGGCTATCATTCAGTTTTGTGTAAAAGTTTGCTGGTAATGTCCGAGCCCCAGTAAGCTGTTTAACAAGGAACCTGAAAAAACATAATAATTATTATAATAATCCATGGATTGGCAGTCTTCACGTGTCTCTCGAAAACGGGCTAGGTTCTCCCAGACATGCACTATATTTTCCTTTACTGTAAGACAAAAGGTAATCATGTAAGAAATGATTTGTACAAAATAGGAGAGCCGGGACTTGAACCTGCTTCACTTGGATAACTAACTATACATATTACATTTTAATTAATTATTATTATAAGAAAACAGTACTAACTTTTTCCAATCAGTATATTTATCCTCTATGCTTCTTGGTGGTATCAATGGCTTGCCTCGAGTTGCACACCATCCAACTGGGTGTACCTCAGAACAGCACAAATTTACCCAAAAATCTTTTGAATCATCACTTCCAAAACCCTCGTACCGCAATAATCCCATATAACCTTTTACCTGAAACAATACAAATCTCAAATGCTAGAAATGCTTGATACATACATTTTATGATTGTATACTTTTACCATCTATTTATCCTATTTCAATAAGAAGGAGATTATCCATTTGACACATATGTATGTAATGCTATTGGAACTGTAAAATATTCACAAATGATAATCTAATAGCTTTCAAGCAAATATACAAAATTTTATAAATGTATGTTTGTGTTCATTTTTTTTTGTATTTGCTTACATTTATTTCAACTTAGGGAATAGTAAAGATTTCATCAAAATCAGTTCAGTACTTTTTATAATATGGACTAAAACAAATTTTTGTAATTACTACTTATTACAAAAACTATTTGTAACTATCAGGTTTTACTTAAAACTAAAAATTACGAAATATAAGTACATAGTAAAAAAAATAATTAAACCGACTTCAAAAAAAAAGTAAAAATTATTGAACAGAGGTTTTCATTTACTATGTCAGATCACACCTAATCAAATAATTTCGATATCAGTGGCAACAGAATATAATCAATATATATATGCTATGTTGAAGGCTAAAAGCTACTACTTTAGGTGACAAGGATATGAGTGTAATATACCCAAAGATGATATTAATGATGCATCAAATTAAAGAAAACATAAAAAAGAGAGAGAAGTAAATAAAGAAAAAAGCAGATTATCAGGCAGGAGATGGCGGGAGATTATCAGGAAGAGAGGGACAGGGTAAGTTCCTAAACTAAAACCTTTCTTAAAACTATAAAATAAAAATAAAGGGTTCTTTGCTCTTCTCTCTCTAGTATAAACAGAATTAAGTCGAAAAAGTGCCTTGAACTAGTTATACAAAAGCAGCTTGAAATAATGGGTACTATCAGAAGAATTTTTGTTTGGTCTAACCACAAAAAGAAACTAATGACAAATCTTTTAAGTGCTGCCAATCATTACCCATTGAAATGTGACAGTTCCATAATTCTTCAATTTTTTTATCATTTCATTATTATTATTATTCATATTAATTATTTTAGTCATGAGCACAATTCAAAAAAGACAATAGATGTTAAAAATAAAATAAGTTTGAGGAAAACCATAAAAGAAATGTCCCTCTTAGGACATTTAGAAATTCTTCACATAAATATAAATATGTTGGGACATTTACACACAGCACCATTTAGTTCCATGGTAAGCTACAAGGCTTGTGTTATAGATACCAGGTTAATATACTACACATATATAACTTTAAATACATACATATTATAAATATAACCACCTATGACTGGAGTACAAACATTCATGCTTAGCATACAAATGAATGCCCCCAGTGGGATTCAAACCCGTGACCGCTGGCACAGCAAGTAGGGTCACTACAAACTGAACCAAATGTGTTGTCAAAGAAAACTAGAACTTAGTATTTTTGGTCAAAAGGATCATTGTTTATCAATAAAAAGTTAAAGCTCACAATTATTATTTTAAAATTAACTCAAATATATCCTTATTAAATATTAATACAAAAAGTTTAAGAAACTTTTAACATTAACCTTAATATAATAGTTTAAATTTGTCTCACCTTTAATACTGTTGCTACCCAGAAATAATCGTTCAATTTTTCTGAATAATTATCACAATCTGTATTTTTCACTTCTACTTTCATACCTTCAAATGTATTGTCCCACATTTCATGTAATGGGGCATGTTTAAATAAACTCACTGGTGCCGCTAAAAAGTCACAGCCAAATAATTCATCCTTCCATTCATAACTATTTGCCACATGAGCTGCTGATTGCTTAATTGGCCCTGCCTGTTTAACAGAATTTGTTAAATATTCATCAATAATAAAATATACAAAATCAATATATGTATTAAAAGTTACCTTTATTATACCATACTAAGGACTCACACTCGCTTCGCTTGGGTTTATTCCTAGGTTGATTCCCCATACAAACTTTTATCCCCATTTTCACCCCCCTATTCCAGTTTGATGTTTCTGGATGATATCCGGGATAAAAAGTATCCTATGTTCTTCCCAGGGCGTCAAACTATATTCTTACCAAATTTCACCTAGATCAGTTCAGTAGATCCAGAGATAACCACGTACAACCTCACAGACCCACAAACTTTACCACTTTACAATATTAGTATAGATTAGAAACATTCTAATTTTATGTTAATGACTAAAAGAAGAAAAAAATACTATTATTGTACAATATGATAACAATATACATACTTGTAAATCATTAAAATTGGCCTGCCAATGCTGCAACTGTGGCAATGGTTCTAAAGGAATTAGACCCGCCATATGCTCAGCTCCTTCCATTAGCTTAAATCTCCAATTGCAATAACGCCGCCTACTATTGCTGGCGTGACATCTTAATGAACAAAACTTATTATTTCTTGGATAAAATTGACCGCGACGGCCAACACGTCCACACAATTCACAAATAGCTAGAAAAAAATATTATACAAATAACACATAGTATAGCAAGCTATAAGTATTTGTGGTATTTGGTTACAAAAAAATAAATAGTTACAAATAATGAAGATATAGTGTATTAGTTCTAGAAAACAACTTATGAAAATACTTTAATCTAAACTTGCTCGAAATGTTCACAATTTCGTACAAATATTCAAAAATATATCAATTTACATTTAAGTCATTCATTACTTTTACAAAATGAAACTTACCAAAACTATCCTTATTTAAGGGTATTATGGATAAGTCATCAATAATTTGGTTATCGTTTGATAAGTCACTTAAATCATTTGATGGTGCTTCATTACCGGCATTGTAAAACGCCATGTTTAGAAACCTTTAAGTAAATACTGTTCACTGTGGAGGTTGTAAACATTTCAATAAACATGACTTATGCTGATAAATGACAATATTAAGAAATCTTTCTATTTTTTACTAGTCCTCAGTGTTCTGTAACTCTTTTATTTTTTCATTTAAAACTCAAAACAACTAAATATTGTGGGTTAGAATATTAAATATGAAATTTAAATAATTACAAGTTACAAACTTAAAATACTCCTACTTTTGATTACTGAATATTTAAACAATTCTTAGCTTGAACGCCATTAATAACATGAAAATAACTTTATGTGCTGCTGCCAAAAGCGATGCCATTTCTCACCAACTTCACATCAACAGCAATTCCAAACTCCACAGACAAAGAAAAAATATCTTAAATTTTCTTAAAATTATTCACATCTATGGTATAAGAAGTCCTATATAAATTGTGCTCTATTAATTTGATCGGTCATATTGTATTATGCAGTTTAATAAAAGATTAAGGAGAGCGGTATAGGGAGACTCTATTCTGCTTTTATTTCCAAAATCTTTAAAATCGAGGGACGATGTTGCTCGCGTCCATATGATTTACCAACACATCCATGTTTACCAAAGAGAATGTAACCACTACGTTTTATGATGCGGGACTTTTTAAATAATTTTTATGATCAATTTACATGGCACTTCAATACCAACTGTACGTCAGAGATGCCAAAACAACAAGAGCATTAACCAACCTATGTAACATAACAGTAAACAGACCAACTACTCTAGTGCTTTACGCGTTTTACCACGGATTTACCACGGATGACGGTAGATAAAAACAAGGGCAGTGCAAAGTTGGCGTGGTGCGCATATCACAATGGGGAAGAATTTTGCCTTTTTGTCTTTATCATCATTCATCTGTGTCTTGAAATTTGAAAATCGAGCATGTTTAGTTGTTGCGAACAAAACTTAAACGCATCAACTATGACTACACTTTGAGTTACTAGTCTAACCTTAGTAAAATGTATAATCATTGAATTTCTCAGAATCCGTCTTCACTATATGTATTCCAAAAACAAGCTTCTCTTTTAATGTCTTCTAGACAAAAACTTAATAAATTAATCATATTTAGCGGGACATGGACATAGAGTTCATTGAATTGTAAAAAATAACCAAAAAAACCAAATATATCATAAAAAAACATTGTACAGTAATAATGTTTTATTATTGACGTGGTCCGATCCACTTATTGCATAACACCGTCCACGCTGCTATGACTGTGCTGCAATAGCACGCATGCAAGCTAATCCCTGCTTTCGGTCTGAATTTAAGCCAATCACCGAGTATGCCTGTTTGTAACCTCAAACGTGATTCGTATTTTGAACATATTTCGTTTTGGTTTGAAGTAGGGCTACTTTTTGTATGTAATTTGTTCTAAATTAGACTTCCTGACTTCTTATTTATTCGTAGGTGAAATTACTTTTTTTTTAATTTTTGTACTTTTTTACAAATTAACCACAGACCGAATGTAAATAGATCGTACGGGTAGCGTCCTCCTTTTACGAAACTTCCCTAACAGTTAAGTACCAACCATAGAGAACTTCTAAATTTACAGTGCCATCTAACGTAAAAATGACTAAAATATTTAGCGAAAACTAGTGATGCACTAGATATCCGAGAGAGGAAAAATTAAAGTATTCTTAATTAAACTTTTTATCCAAATGCGCGTTTTTATACTATTAAATTTAACAATAAAGCTTTTCGTACATCGCAGTCAAGGCGCAAATAATTTGTAAATAAAAAATATATTATTTGCAATCACAAGACTAGAAAGAAACTCAGTAGGTAGATGAAATTAAAATACAGTAGGCGGGTAGCCCTGTCGCGTGGTTACGTACCGCGCGACTGTAGGTAATTATTTCAAGGACAAGGCCGAGTTACAATATTGTATGTATAACATTACCGTGCTTTTTATCATTTTCATCAACTTCATGAATTGAATGAAATTCTAAATATAGATAGCAATGAAACACTTTTCAATACTATTTAAAATATTATTTATTATTAGACCTGTCACGTGTCTGTAACAAGTATATTATACAAATCTCTCCGGTGACCATGATTGCTGTAAGGCATTCGAAACATCGGGAACTAAAAACCAAAATAAATCCGCGAAAAACGCCGATAAAATATTTTTATTTATAAATGTCAAATACTCGCATAAATTAAGAAAGTATATAATTTATTTCCTAAAATCACATCTTTGGTACATTTATATTGCGCAAGGTGAATATTAGATCATTTATTGTAGTAACTAGTAAGTTACAAACAAGCCTTATATCTTTATGGTATGCTTATTGAGAAAATAATGAAATGTTTGAACATTTACGATAGATAGCTAGTTATATGAACTCCGTTATCCGTATCCGTATTCACGGATCTTGAAGTTGAGAGTTGAGACTAATGATCTGTATTTGTATCCGTATCCGCGTATATACATTTTTATCGATCCGGCAGTGGCACATCACTGGCGTAAACATCTGCGTCATATGACGTATTACGTATCCATTTTGACTATATAAAATATAAATATAAATACTTTATTTTATAAAGCTGCAAGCGCTTGAAGTTAATGATCGATTGTTGAACTTGAAACCTCGCTAGAGTAATTGTATTCACTCTTTTGTGGTTGAAACCTTGTTCATTGTTGTTACTTGTTGGTTCCAAAACATATCAATCAACAGCCATTTTTAACTCCAGCTTGTGTGTTACTGATAATATATTGTTAAATTAATTAACAAATTCTTTGAGATTACGTGAGAATTGCGATACGTAAGTGCATATCATTTTTGCTACTACTATAATATTTTTATACTATAATATTTTTACTTTTTGATCCATGAGCGCTAGAAACATTCTTAGAGTAGTACAGTTTTTTGCTTGAGATTTACCCCCAAAATATATTATTATTTCCTTAATCGTGCACTTTCAATTGTTAAAGAGCCATCAGCCATTTTTTTATGTCAAAGGGTGGAAAAGTGCAATAGCAATGTAACATTGCACAATAATTATGATATTCTACAAATTCATGATTTTCAATAGGTAAATTTTAGTTTAAATAATAAAATTCGTGTACTCTCGTAATGTAACTCAAAATAGTTTAAATTTGTTGCGCTTAATTTAAGTAGGTATAAAATATTAGTGTTATACAGGGGAGTGGGTGTATATAGATAAGTAGTTAGGTATCTTTTATAATATGGAGTTGTCACTTCATTTAATAATTATTTTTTTAATTTTTAAATTATCGATCAATTGGTATTCTAACTTCCAACAAATATAATTTTGGTAAAAAATTGTAATTTCAGAATAAGCAGTTGATACAAACATGGGGCGAGGTAAGATTATACTTTAATTTTATTAAAATGAAGGTCCTAATTTGTAATCCATATTTAATTTTTGATTTTGAATTATGCATTTCCCATTCACATGAATTTGGATGATCTATAATTAATAAATTTAATGTTATGTTTTTAATATACTGTTAAATTATAATTCTGGGTTGTGAGCATAATATCTATATATAAATAAAATGAAAGGTTTTATCGTATGACATAAAAGTGAAATGTGCATTTTTATTTACTGATCTGGTAAAATATTCAATTTTGTTCATACATGGGAATCTTAAAACAATGCTATAACAATAATAAAGAGCTAGGTACTTTATTTTGTTAGAGTTATGATTTATTGAATGGAAAAAAATTAAAGAATCTTGGCTGTATGGTTCTTGCTCTAAAATGCCTTTCTTTAGGTCACAAGCATTTTAAATAAAAGTATCTTGTTGGATCCTTTTGCTAATTTATTTTAATTTTTGGTTCCCGACATTTTGAATGCTTTACAGCAATCATGGTCACAGGAGAGTTTTATTTAAAATTTCACAAGCATATCAGACTTGATTGATAACATATTGCTGAAGCTTAGAAAGCATTTGTTTTCTTACTACATCCATGGCTACCCAAGTAAGATACATAAAAATCCTTGGATAAAGTAATGTATCATCTTTCGTAATGGGAAAGCAGAAAAAAATCATTTTGCATTAAATAAAACTATTTTCACTCATTTTTTATTCACCCTAGTACAACATAAAATATAAATAGTGCTATGTATGAATATGCAGTACAAACTTTCTACTTTAGGGTTGATTTTTCATTGATGAGTAAAATTAAAAAAAAACCTATTAGTAATTTTTAATTATTAATCTTTTAATGAGTTAGAGTTATGTGGCACGGCCAACCCTTTCTGCTACATAATAAATTAAATTAAAATTAGTGTCCCACCGAAACAGGATTTTGCAGCTGAAACCGAATCTTTGGCCATGGTCTCAGTTTCGGCCGAAATTGAAACTTATTTAGACTTGTTAAAATTTCTATTCATGCTGAAATGTAGTTCATATTTTATTATTATGTTAAATAGTGACAACACCTCACTTCCCTCGGTACCGCCGGTGCTTGGTGAATCCCTTAACAGTAACTTATGTTTTACACATAGTGTATCTTGTACTAAATTTCAAGGAGTAACAAGCGCACACACACACACATATATACGTACACCACTAGACCACCAAGGCAGTTAGAGAACAGTATACACTATACACATACACACACACTCACTCACACTTTTGCATTCATAATAGTGGTGTGTTTATACACATAACCTTAACTCAACACAATCGCGCCGGCGACTGGTGAACTTAGCTAGCGAACACGATACATGAACTCAACCGAACGAAGCAAGACAATTCATGAACACTTAAGTTTCAGCGGGGCCAAAGATTCGGCTTGTTTTTGGCCCAATACCGAAACTGGCCGAAACCGATACCGAACCTTCGATCGGTCACTAATTAAAACATATTTTTTTACATTGCAGGTGGTAAGAAAAAAAGTAAATCTGATAAAACCGAGAAAGATAATGTTGACTTAGATGTTGGTTCCTTGTCTATGAGTGAAAGCGATCCTTCGACATCTCTTTCATCATCATCCAAACCTCCAGAAGAAAGTAAAAAACCAGAGGCAGCCATTGAGGAATCTAAACCGTCGATACCAGCTCCACAAGAAGAAGCAGATGAGGATATTGGGCTTGGGTTGGGTATGAAAAGTAAGAAACGCCCACGCAAAAAGAAGAAGGACGGCTCTGAAAAAGAAAGTACTCCAGCACCTACAATCGGAACTACATCCCGTGTAGATGTTTCGACTACATCACCTACAGAACCTTTAACAACTTCAGAAACTTTCGTACAGCCAACTCCACAACAGGCTCCACAACGGGCTCCACAACGGGCTCCACAACCGGCTCCACAACGGGCTCCACAACCGGCCCCACAACCGGCTCCACAACCGGCTCCACAACCGGCTCCACAACTGGCTCCACAACTGGCTCCACAACGGGCTCCACAACCGGCTCCACAACGGGCTCCACAATGGGGTTCACAACCGTCTCCACAGCCGGCTCCACAACGGGCTCCACAACCAGCTCCACAATCGGCACCTCAATCGGCTGGTCGAGGTCTTGGTCGAGGATGGAATACAATACCACAGACTGCACCAACACCAACGTTTACCCCACAATTACCTAGTCAACCTCCACAGCCATCGAGTGCGCCTACACCTTCGACATCTCAACCTTCCCACGCAGGGCTTGCACCTCGAGGCGGATTGGGAAGGGGCAGAGGACAACCAGGCCATCAACCAGGACCAAACGTTTCAGTAACCACACCCGCACGAAGCAAACCATCAGATACTGTATGTCGGTTTAAAATACCTGAACGAAAACTTGGAAAAATAGTCGCGTCCCAATCACGTTTTATCAAAGTTTTGACTAATTATTTAGAAATGAAAATTCACCCCTTGAAAATAGTGAGTATCTCAGACAATTTTCAAATTGTTATGTACATATTTAAATTAAATTATTTTTATTTAATAGATTATATGAGAGAAAAGAATACTAAGTTGTGTATAATGGACGTTTTATTTGTTTTTAGCATCGTTATGATGTGTCTATTAAACCGGACCGACCAAAAAAATTAGTACCGAAAGCTTTTGCAGCTGCAAAGGCAAAAAGTTTTCCGAAGCATATATTAGCATATGATCAAAAGAAAAATTGCTACTCTGTGTCACCACTTTGGTCTCATCCAGATGAACGATCAATTATTAATGTAAGTATATTGCATATTCAAATCCCGGGTCTCGCACCTCGGATATTTTCATGTTTTCATATTTTCCCGCGGTAAAAAGTATCCTATACGTTGACCTTTTTTTTTTTTTTTTTAACGTTGGGAAATGCATTTACGCACGACGTGTGGGACTCACCGGCGTAATACAGCCAGTACTACCCACTAAAACCCAACAAAACCTTCCCCCGTCTTAATGGGGCGTCGCAGGATCGCTTACGCATTCAACTACGACGCCCCGACGGCAGGTCCGCCGAAGCAGACCACCACAACCATGGGGTTGCTCCACAGTCCACTCTGCTATCAGAGAAGTACCAGGAGCACGCTACTGCTACTGAGCCCCCCCACCACGACAAGGTGAACGCACGTTGGGGGGGATCCTATACGTTGACCTGGATAACCAGCTATCATCATACCATATTTTTTCAAAATCCCTTCAGTCGTTTTTTGTGGATCGGTAACAGACAGACAGACAGACAAAAACTCTAAAAACTATAGATTCGGCCTCTGCATCGATAATAATGTTCATTTCAATAAGACATTCCAATAAATATTTTATTATATGTATATTTTATTAGGATGATAACATATACCCTATACCCTTCCTAAATAAACGGGCTACATAATGCAAAAAGAATTTTTCCTCGACCACCGAGGCAACAGATATTATGTGCTTTTAAGTATTATGTTTTTAATTGTTTGATTTAAGGTGGAAATATCAGATGACAATGACGTAAAAATGTCATTTGAAATCACAATCAAATTTACTGGAATCGTGGACTTGGGAACATTAATAAAGTAGGTTTATTTTATAACTACTGAGAATTCATTAAGTTAATAAATAGTCCTAATGTCAATTATTGAAAATAAATAATTCGCGAAAATCCTCATTTTTGGGAACCACTTGGCAGAATAAGTGCATACAAAGTAAGTAAGGATTGAATTAAAAAACAAAATTGAATTTACTTAACCACTAAATATTATTGTATGTATATTATATGATTTTTGAACTTCGATCAACAATATTACTCGTCGGCGTAAGAAATCCGTCTCGGTAAATATCCGCTCTCTTGCAAAGTGAGCGTATATTTCGATTAGTTCTGTTGGAACATTGCAAGCGTAAACACGTTCACGAGGCCGCAATATTTACCTATTTAAAAGTTGCAAAAATAATGCACGACGAAAATTTTATCTGACGGAGTGTCTTATTTTCGGTAAATACATGTAGATTAAGTTAATATTTTAACGTACGAAATAATTTAAAAATGAAATTTTAAATAAAACTATCTTTTCGGATTTTGTCGCGGATTTATTTGTATTTTTGTTTCCCGACGTTTCGAATGCTTTACAGCATCCATGGTCACGGGAGAGACTGAGGTGTTACATGTCTTAAAGATATAGTTGTTACAGACAGCCTACCCACAATTAACAAAATGAAAATTGCACCAATTACATTACAATATTTTAACTTTAAATATTTTTATAATTTTAATTATAATTGAATATGGAAAATTATTTATTTAATTTTTGCTATTATTTTTATAATTATTACAATTTTAAAAATATTAATTAACAATCTATATTTAGTGTTGCCATTATTATATTCATAACCATAAGAAAAATATAAAATATAGTATTAATTATTTAAGCCACAATTGATCTATGTGTAATTTGAAAAAGTTAAGATTAATTAAAAAATAATAATTTTAATTTAAATTTGCTATTATTTAAAAACAAATTATTAAGCAACACATTACTACATACATTTACAAATGAAAAAGTGAAAAAATATATTATTAATCAGAAATGCTATCATTTTGATCTACACAGTAAGAACTTACTACATCTACCTGTCTGTTATGTTTAGATTTATTATTAGATTTTATTATATTAATAACAGGATCCCATGACGATGGTAGTACCCAGCCATCTTCCCTATTGAAATTAGGATGTTTTTTAATTTCTATGGCTTCTCGAATCATTCTAGGGCGATATCGGTTTTCTTTCGCCAGGATTTGAGGCCTATCGAAGCGAATATAATGGCTTGGGCGGTCCTGACTGTGTTTGCAGACAGCAGATGTTGTATTGCGACGGTGCTTCACATCAGCTATGTGTTCTTTGACCCGGGTTCTAATGGATCTCTTTGTTTGTCCGATGTAAGAGAGCCCACAATCACAATCAAGCTTGTAAACTCCTGCATCTTGTAGAGGGATGTGGCACTTGACAGGTGGTAGAAACTGACTAATTTTCTTTGGCGGCTTGAAGTAAGTTTTAATTGAAGCTCGCTTTAGAATGTAGCCAATCTTGTCAGTGACGCCTCTCATGTAAGGTAGGACTGCAGGGACGCGCTCGACTGTGGCTGGTTTCACTCGGTCCCTGTGACGTAGGCGCGGCACTTGCAGCTTGTTGTCTCGCAGAACTTGCTTGACATGTTGCAGTTCTCCGGCCAGGTGTTGCTCGTCACAGATCCCGCGTGCCCTCTGAAACAAAGATTTTCCCACGGTAGCTAACTGTGAAGGGGGGTGGTGAGATTCACCATTCAAGTACCTATCAGTATGGGTCTTCTTTCGATACACAGTATGACTCAAGGTGTTATCTGGGTTACGTATGACTAATACATCTAAGAAAGCTAAAGAATTATTAGACTCCAATTCCATTGTAAATTGTATTTTAGGGTTTATGGAGTTAAGATGTTCTAAGAATACAGATATTTTATCAGATGGTAATATTGTGAAAGTGTCATCTACATACCGCTTGTAGAAACGAGGGGTCACAGGTGATGTGTTTAGGGCGGTCTCCTCGAAGGCCTCCATGAAGATGTCAGCTACAACGGGAGAGACCGGCGAACCCATGGCCACTCCATCCACTTGCTTGTAGAATTCATCATTCCACAATAGATAGCCAGATGTAAGGCAGTGTTTCAAAAGTTCAGTGTATTCTTCTTGCATACTATTATCCCGTAGCTTTCTTGATACTATTTTGACACAGTCCTCTACTGGTAGGTTGGTGAATAGAGACTGTACATCAAAACTGACCATAGTTTCATTGTCCATGAGTTGTAGGTGTTTTATCTCATTGACAAAATGGTATGAGTCCCTTGTAAACGCTGATGTTTGTCCTCTGAGTGTTGAGAGTACTTTCGCTACTAGTTGGGCCAATTTATAAGTCGGTGTGTCGATTTGACTCACAATTGGACGTAGCGGAGCGTTAGATTTGTGTATCTTTGGAAGTCCATACAGTTTAGGCGGCTTTGCACAAGATGGAACAAGATTTTTGACATCAAGATTCAATGCATCGGAGTGTTTCTTAATAAGCTTTTTAGTATTATTTAACACAGTGGTGGTTGGGTCTGTTTTGACCTTTTTATATGTACTTTCATCCGACAAAAGTTGTTTAATTTTCTCATTGTAATCTGATGTATCCATCACGACGGTGGCATTTCCCTTGTCTGCGCGTAGTATGATAATGTCTGACCTGCTGCGTAAGTTCTTCAACGCTAAATACTGTTGTTTGTTGAGATTAGGTTTGGGCCTTGAGCTACGACGTAACAAAGATGAAACATCTTGACGTATGGCCTCCATATCCTCAGATTTCATAGTATTTTTGGCCAGAGCATCTTCAACTGCACAAATAATATTCTCATAAGGGATGCGTGTCGGCGCAACAGCAAAATTTAAGCCTTTACTTAGTACTTGAATAGTAGATTCGTCCAATGTTTGTTTTGACAGATTGACAACTGTTTGACGTACGCACGAATTTGAAACTGTGGTAGACGGGCGCGTTCCGTTATTGTTTTTGGTTTTCTTTTTGATGTTATATTTCTCGACTAATTTTTGGTATTTTAATATATGTTTGTTTTTGCATTGGTTAAATTTAGATGTTTCGCGCTTATTTAAAGTTTCAATGCAATCATTAAAATCACTTGGTGTCAATACTGTCTTTATATTAAGGGACGTTTGTTCTACGTACCGGTCGTTACTGCGCAGATCACGGCGGGTTTGACGAATCACCGTCCGTAACAACTTAAAACTTGCCTTGTTAACGATCTTGGCGCTTCCCCGTATGTTCTTTTTAGATGATATTTTCACACACGTAGGAATGAGACGATGATCTCGACATCTCTTCAAGAATGTTAAAGATGTTAATAATCTTGCGCGCTTTGTCTTCAGATCTTCTAACCGGCGTATTTGGTTTGCGATTTCCAGTCCGTACTGGTTCACATAATACTTTCTTAGATTTACGCGAATATTTGACATTTTAAATAAAACTATCTTTTCGGATTTTGTCGCGGATTTATTTGTATTTTTGTTTCCCGACGTTTCGAATGCTTTACAGCATCCATGGTCACGGGAGAGACTGAGGTGTTACATGTCTTAAAGATATAGTTGTTACAGACAGCCTACCCACAATTAACAAAATGAAAATTGCACCAATTACATTACAATATTTTAACTTTAAATATTTTTATAATTTTAATTATAATTGAATATGGAAAATTATTTATTTAATTTTTGCTATTATTTTTATAATTATTACAATTTTAAAAATATTAATTAACAATCTATATTTAGTGTTGCCATTATTATATTCATAACCATAAGAAAAATATAAAATATAGTATTAATTATTTAAGCCACAATTGATCTATGTGTAATTTGAAAAAGTTAAGATTAATTAAAAAATAATTTTAATTTAAATTTGCTATTATTTAAAAAACAAATTATTAAGCAACACATTACTACATACATTTACAAATGAAAAAGTGAAAAAATATTATTAATCAGAAATGCTATCATTTTGATCTACACAGTAAGAACTTACTACATCTACCTGTCTGTTATGTTTAGATTTATTATTAGATTTTATTATATTAATAACAGGATCCCATGACGATGGTAGTACCCAGCCATCTTCCCTATTGAAATTAGGATGTTTTTTAATTTCTATGGCTTCTCGAATCATTCTAGGGCGATATCGGTTTTCTTTCGCCAGGATTTGAGGCCTATCGAAGCGAATATAATGGCTTGGGCGGTCCTGACTGTGTTTGCAGACAGCAGATGTTGTATTGCGACGGTGCTTCACATCAGCTATGTGTTCTTTGACCCGGGTTCTAATGGATCTCTTTGTTTGTCCGATGTAAGAGAGCCCACAATCACAATCAAGCTTGTAAACTCCTGCATCTTGTAGAGGGATGTGGCACTTGACAGGTGGTAGAAACTGACTAATTTTCTTTGGCGGCTTGAAGTAAGTTTTAATCAATTAAAACTTAAAAGCGAGCTTCAAAGCTCGCTTTAGAATGTAGCCAATCTTGTCAGTGACGCCTCTCATGTAAGGTAGGACTGCAGGGACGCGCTCGACTGTGGCTGGTTTCACTCGGTCCCTGTGACGTAGGCGCGGCACTTGCAGCTTGTTGTCTCGCAGAACTTGCTTGACATGTTGCAGTTCTCCGGCCAGGTGTTGCTCGTCACAGATCCCGCGTGCCCTCTGAAACAAAGATTTTCCCACGGTAGCTAACTGTGAAGGGGGGGTGGTGAGATTCACCATTCAAGTACCTATCAGTATGGGTCTTCTTTCGATACACAGTATGACTCAAGGTGTTATCTGGGTTACGTATGACTAATACATCTAAGAAAGCTAAAGAATTATTAGACTCCAATTCCATTGTAAATTGTATTTTAGGGTTTATGGAGTTAAGATGTTCTAAGAATACAGATATTTTATCAGATGGTAATATTGTGAAAGTGTCATCTACATACCGCTTGTAGAAACGAGGGGTCACAGGTGATGTGTTTAGGGCG